TTTTTTAAAACATGTACTTTACTATGCTCATGAGAAATTTGAGCACTAGGATCATTGCTAAATTTAGACTAGTTTTTATCATCATTACTAAATTTAGCCTAAGACTCGACCATCATATCTAAATTTGGCAGCAAGGAAAATAGTTTTTTAACCAAAATCACGTGTAATCCTTTTTTAAAAAATTTTATTGCATTTTTGAACGAATCACGAAATTGCAATTTTTTGAAATTTGAGCGCGAGGCGCAGCAACGGGAGGTCTTTAGACTGAGCCAACCATAGTAAAATTTGGATTAAAACATTAAATTTTTTAAAAAGTGGTATGCTGGATGTCTATTAACATGCTTATAAAGACTTGAGAAAATGGTGGTATTGATGACTTTTTTGATACATTTTGAATTCTACATAAATCAATTATACATTGGCTTAAAGGAGGATTTCCGATGCAAGCTCTTGATAAATTTTTTGTATTTTCAATGCTAGAATTTTGTATTTTTAATTTATTTTTTTTACAAGAAATACTTTCTAAATGGTTATTAATTGTTGACTTTCATTTATGATCTACAAGCAATACAATATAATTTTGTCCAATTGAAAATATCTTTGTAATTTTTTTCTGGAAAGCAGGTATGACCATTTTTTATATCTTTCAAATCGTGTAGTACAATTATGCAAATGCATAAATCTGGCGGTGTCTCCAATATGGCACAGCTGAATTTACTGATAGTCAGAATACATTTAGTAGCATTGCTTGCAAAGACTTATCTGTTGCTACCATCTCTGCTTCAAGCAAGTGTTTATTTTCAGATGTCGAAAATTTAATTACTCACTAATTGTTTATTAGAGGCTTGGCAAAGTTTCGGCAGTCGTTTGGTGAGCAACCTTACTTGGAACCTGAAGTTGCGAATCAATTATTTGGTTTTTTGTGTAACAATAACAATATTTTATTTATTCCACGAATTTACCGATCCCGCGAAATTTCCCACGAGAATATTCGAAGTTTGATATCGCGAATTTTTACTTGAAAAATTTATTTGTACCAACAGTTAATTCCTTTAAAAACCATTGGTTTTCTTTAATTAATTATTATAGTTATTTTTAGTCTATCAATTTTTATTTTCTAAAAAAAGTTTGGAACTTTATCTTTATTAAATATTTAAAGAAAAATAAATTTACATATAATTCTATCCACAAATCAATGGCATCAATCGTATTATTGATTGAGAAATTAATTGATCTTTTAATTTTACTTTGTGTTTGAAAAATTGATTATCTTTTTAAATTTATTTTGCTTTGTGTTTGTGAATGAAGGTTGGTTGATTTTCTTGGGAAATTTGTTTTGTTCTTGTGAATGAATTGATTCTTTTTAAACCAAATTTTATGATAAGAAAATTGAGCTTTATTTATTTTTTATTTATCTTTAAAACTAAGCATTTAGCAACAAATAACCTGATGATTTAAACAACAATATTATCTAGATTTCAAAATTTCTATTTTTCCATGCTTGTCAATTAATGGCAAGCATTGAAAAATAATTTATTGATATTTTCCATTTTGTCAAACAATATTATTGTTTTAATTTTCTTTTCCATATTCATTGTAGTTAGCCACAATCATTTGCAGCTAGCTACATAATTACAACAAGTTTTAATAAAAAAGAGTAGCAATAAGTCAATTTTCCACAATTTTTTTTTTATATTAGGCAACATCTGCATTTCCGTTAACATTCTCGTGGGAAACTTTGCGAGGATCAGCAAGTTAACAACAGTAATAGTAACGTAGATCTGCGCATGACTGGGAGGGTTTTTTGAAAGGTCCAGGTCATTTTGGTAGTTAGTAACACTTGGTGCAAAATTTTCCTCATGTAGCTACTTGTTCAGGAAGAAAAACTGTTGTTGAATAATTTATAATTAATTACAAATAAAATGATTTGAATTCTTAATAAATAAATAAATAACAAAATAAGAATAATAATCTACAAAATAATTCATTGAAAAAACTAATTATAATTAATATAATAATAATAATAATAATAAAATCAGTCATTTATTTTCAAAGCTTGTTTTTATTTGAAATTGGCCAACAATTTATCTAATCGTCCAGCCAAGTCTGTGACACGTGAATCAACAACATCAATGTTTTGTTGAATTGCTGTATCGTTTATTTCAAATGACTTCTCAAGCTAAATTATAAATAAATATAAATATATTAGATTTGATTATCAATTAGAAACCAATCATAAAAAGTACACAAAGAAAGCTTCAAACCTTCTCTGCAACACCATCTAAACTTTTCAATTCTTCACTGATCTTATTTTGTTCACTAGTTAACATTTTAATTGTTTCACTGAACACTGAAGCTTCTTGATGTAATTGCTGTAAAGATTTCAAACGATTAACCAATGCTGGTGCAATTGACATAAGAGGATCTACTTTGTCCAAGAGTGTAAAAAGATAGTTTATCTTTATATGTGTGTGTGTGTATATATACACATATATATATAAATTAATTTATTAATTCATTAATAATCAGCCAACCAATATATTAAAATTATTAATAAAATAAGCACCTTCTCTTCAGTTTCAAATGGAATGACACCACCATTTGAAAGTTCTTTATTTTTCAATTCATTAACTTTCTCCAGTTCACCAACCAAAGTCTTGGCTTTCCTGGAAATAGATTCCAAATGTCGTGGTTGTGCCAATAATTGCATATGTTGATCAAGTTTATCAATGGCAGCAATTAAATTGGTGTTTGTTATAGAGATTGACTATATTGCATTAATATATCATTATAATGATGGTGTTATTAAATGAATTAATAAATAAATTTATTATTTATTATTTAGCTAATTAAGAACATACAAGATCCTCAAAATTTTGCCCATGAGCTGTACCAACAAGTTTTTCTAAAGCAGCAATACGGTCATCAAGTTCAACTGTCTTGGCTAAAGTATGAACTCTTGCAGTTTCAGGTGTATAATATAATTCATATGTAATCATCTAATTTATTCATAGTAATGATGATAATAATTAATCAGTTAATCAGTTAATAATAACACTAATAGTAATATTATTATTATCACCATCAAATAAAAAATATCCCTACATTTTTTGTAGTTGCATTATCTAAATCATGACCATTAGTTTCAGTTGCAGTTGGTGTATCTTTATCTTTTGAAATCCCATTTTCCTTGGGAACACCTGAGTGTTTGAAAGATTGTAATTGGTTAATTAATTTTTTACTCAATTCAGCTTGTTTTATTATTGTCCCTTCCTTTTCATCTATAGAGTCTGGTTCGCCTATATTCTGAGATAATCGACTAAGATCCTTTTGTAAACTGGATAATTGTTCAACCATGGCACTGTGAAGAGGTTTTTTGGGCTTTGATTCATCATCCTATTGATATATATTTGTTAGCAAGAATGATTAAGTGACAATGGTCCATGTAATGATGTGTGTGTAATCAATTAATTATTAATTATATTATTTATTTTACTACCTTATCTTTTTCCAATTCTTCATCAAGCTCTTGAGCTTCAAAAATCAATCTTCTCAATTTTTGTACAGGAGTTTCTTGCAATGTTGGTTCCTTAGATATGTATTCATATTCATTTGTGTCTAAAACAGGACGTTTAACATAAACTTTGTACATGTTTTTTTTACGACGAGTTATACTATCAGAGAAATCTAAAATATAAATAACATATATATACACATGAATTAATGAAATAGCGATGGATATTTTTCATATTCACACACACACACACATATATATATAATATACCAGTTTCAGAAGCATCAATGACACTGTCTTTAAACTTATCAACAGCTTCACCTACAGAAATTTTTTCTTTGACAATATTTTCATTTGGTTCTTCAAGGTCAAGGTAATTCTAATAAAAAGATATTCCAGAATTTTTAAATTTTTTATTTTAAACAACAACAAAGTCTATAATAACAACAATAATAAATTATTTACCTCACCGTCTACAGTATCATTTTCTTCAGGCGTATCAGGAGATTCATAAACATCTGGTTGGGTGTCCTAAATAGTATTCATTAATTTCTTAAATATTGGTTTAAACTTCTTCTATCATTGCAAATAAATAAAAAATATTTGTTCAAAGGAAGTAACCCACAAATGAGAACTTACAATATCTGGAAGATTAATATATTTACTTTGAGACATTTTTTTAATAAATAAAAGCGGAATAATAAGCTAAATAAACTTTCTTGATTAATTAATTAACTAATTAATAAATGCAAACAAAACCGACAGATAAAGGCAAATTAATTTTAAAAAATGCAAAGATGAACAAAATAATGTGATTTTTCCTACTTTGGATGGTCAGACAAATGATTTTCAAACACCTTCATAGTTTTTTAAAAAATTTTTTATCATTATCATCATGTTATTGCCTTCACTCCTTTTTAAGACGAGTATCTTCGCGCCGAAAAAAAAAACGAATAATATTGATACTACTTTTGAGCTGAATGGCAAATTCGGTTATATAGAGAAGAAGGGCAAGAATATACATTAATTGTCGTATTTATTATTATAATTTTATTTTAATGAGAAAAGTTACATTTAACAAAAGTTTTTATCAACATTTTATAATAATTATGAATGAGAGGGAACATCTTAATATTAAGAACAAGCCTCATTTTATTATGAATTTTTCCCATTAAAAAGAAACCGCATAACTATGGTATGACCAACAAAACCAAATTCAAAATAAAATAAAAATTTTGAATAAGCTAACAAGCCATATAATCTCTCTCTCTCAGATCAAACGGATAATTTATTACCATATTATAGATGCATGTCATGTGTCCGAGGACTTCCTCAAAGCAATAGCAATTTTAATATGAGCTAACATATATATGTGTGTAATGCCTTGGTAGCAATTATTTAAAGTGCTACCTCCAAAAATGAAGGAACTATTTAAATGTTATATTTGTTTTTTATATATAAAATAATGGGTTTTGTGCGTATTTTTTTTACAATTTTAGAAATAAATTAAATTTTCAAAGGGAACAAATCATATGCGTCGATTTTATCAAATGTTACACGTAATACTTTCAGAAAGATTGGGAATTGATAAAAATTTAACGGCATCTTATTATTATTTACTATAATAATAATAATAATAATGATAAACAAAATGTGGACCCTAAACTACTTGTACTACTACGTAACAAAAAATTACCTCGTGTGTTAAAAAATATGTAACGTTTAAGTTATATCTCTCATTCCCTCTTCTTCCTATGTTATACACGCTAACTAATTCTCTCTACACAATATCTTTCTCGTCCTAATTATAATTGATTAATTTGATTACATTAATAATAATAAAATTGTAGAGTATATATATTGATTAATGCTTAATTTTGTGTTTAATATCACTATTATATAATCAATCATCCATGAAAATCTATCAACATAAATAATCTCTTCACACTAAATCTCACATAATCTACACGCCTATCCAAATTAGGAAAATACTAGTTCTGTTATGACGTATGGATGAACTCATCACAATTACCACATTACATTTTTTAAAAATTTTTTTTTGAATTAATTATAGTTTGTGTACAATGACTACATTATGTTGCACATCGATATAATAAGAATATTGGATTGGGAATTGTAACTTAGAAAAAAATATTCAACCTTCTATATTTTCTACATTTTTTTATATTTTATACATATTTATTATTTATTATTTTTGTGCAAATTTGTGACTTTAAACTTTCCTGGTTTTTCTGTCAATGACTTTATATCTAATAAGAAGAAAAAGCTCTCACAATAATAACACATTTTTTAATCTTACCAAAAATTTTTTTGGCTATTTCTTTCTTTTACTAATAAATAATATAAATTATTAAATAACTGCTGATAATAAAATAATATATAATAATAGTAATAACTCTTTAAATACAACACATTTTCTTTGCCGTTTTTTAAAAAAAAAATCGGGATTTTTCCCACAATAATAGTAAGCCAATAAATTAATCAATATATATATTCAGTTCAGAATTACTGAATATTTTTTTCAACGATTTAATAAAAAAATACGTTATACAGGTAAATAATAAATTTACCAATTCGTACTATATATAAAAAATAGGCAAATATTTATTTACTAATCTTTTTTATTTTATATATTTTTTTTCCTAAAAGTTATCATATTTTATCATAGATATAATTTAGTTTCTTGAGAGGTGTTATATAAAAGCAAAATTTGATAGTTGATACATTAAATATTTATCATTAAAGCTTTTCACAAATCAAAAGTTTGTGAACTTTTAACTATATTATTAATTCTTATTATCATATAATAAAAAATAAAATGCAATCACCTTCAAATAGATCAGCCACTAGTGAAGGTTAGAGATGTTTTATTAAAATTTATTATGTGATCATTCTACTCTATAATAATAATATAATAATATATATATTCATTATAGTAGAATCTGAAGTGGACACTCCGACATCTAGTAAATCATCAGATTCACAAAATATTGCTAATTCACCTTCTAGATCGCCGTCACCTAAAAAAAATACATCAAAATTAACCGCAAAGAACGAAAATACAAATAACATCATCAAAAAAATAAATAATAAAAATATTATAAAATCAAATCCACCACCACCAACTACTGAGCAAACACCCACAAGATTTTTGGCAGCATGTTCAAAACTCGATTTAGAACCTAATCCATTTGAACAAAGTTTTTCAGGAGTTGCATCTCATAGTGAAGGCACAGGCCAAGGCACACCAAAACCAATCTTACCTTCTGTTGCTCAACTTACTAGTCCGTCGCCTGGTAATGATTATTGGAATATGACTCAGTCTTTGAGAAGTGGTCCTTTATCACCCTCGATGCTTGAAGGGCCTCAAGAACCAATTCTTTACAATGGCACAATATTACCAAATGGCCGTACAGGGACAACACCGCTTCCTTTTAGCTCATTTTCTGAACAATCATCTACCAGATCTACTACAATTTTTGGTGCTGTCAGCGGAAATTCATTTGTTAACTCGTCAGCCTCTTTGAATTTATCGGCAGCAAATAATATGTTCTCTTCTCAAGGCGTTTTAATGGATTCAGATCGTAAAACTGTTGCAACATCAAAAACAATAGGAAAACCATTAATAAATTCAGTTCCAAATATAACAGTAACTGCTGATAATAATAAAATTTCCTCAACACAATCTACTGACCTATCAAATGGATCAACTAACGTCATGATAACGAATCAAATTGGTCATCAAACAGGTTTTAACAATTTAAAATATTATTTAACAGAAAATTTAAGCCAAATTAATATATTAAATAATTTTATTTTTTACTTCGCTGTTTTTTTCAATTCTACAATTTCAGATATTAATATTATTCCAAAATCAGAAAAAGACACTTATAATAATATGTCAAATACAAATAATCCAATCGCTATTCTTCAAAATAATAACAATAGCAATATTATTAATAATAGTGATGATGATGATATAAGTACAACAAACACAACATTACAAAAAAATATAACATCATTCGATCAAGAGCCATTATCACCACAAGATAAAATAAATAGTCATAACCATCATAAATCAGTGCCTCGTAGACGAAAAACCGATGACTTTCCTATGGGAGAACAATCTCCCACAAAGAAAAGTAATCAAAAAACCAAGAATGAATTGACTGATGAAGAGAAGAGGAGAAACTTTTTGGAAAGAAATCGTCAAGGTATTGTAGATCAATATATATTTATTTATTTATTTATTTATTTATTTATTATTTATTTATTTATTTATTTATTTATTTATTTATTTATTTATTTATTCAATCTACACTCTATATTTATTGCACGTATACTCATTTTTTTATTATTTGAAAAAGCCGCACTTAAATGTCGTCAACGTAAAAAACAATGGCTTGCAAATTTACAAGCTAAAGTGGAGTTTCTTACAAACGACAATGAAAATCTACAGAATCAAGCACAATCTTTACGTGAGGAAATATTTAATTTAAAAACATTATTATTGGCTCATAAAGATTGTCCAATTACTCAAGCAAGTGGAGGCTTGACACTAGATACAATAACATCTGGTATAGGTGGGATGCAACCATCTATAAACAGTGTTCCAATAAATATCGGTGTTGGAATGGTTCCTAATCCTATGCAAGCACCGCAAAATCAAAGTGTTCAACAAAATGGTGTACATGTTCAAATTCCTCAAAATATGCCTAATCATGGCCCACCGGGTTCTGGAATGTTGAGATATTAAAAAAAAACAAAATTTTCTTCTAGTAATATTATTATCGTTGTAATAATAAATTGCTCTCTCATTAAAAGAAAACCATGCTAAACATAATAAAAGAAAATTATAAGACATATTGATTGATTGAATTTTTAAGCTAATTAGTTATATATATATATTATACATGTTTTTTCTTTTTTTATAATCTTGTACAGTTTTATATATATGGCCTTTAATTTTTACAATTTTCTTTTTTAGCATTTAATTTTCTCGATATATATTAATATAGTTAGAATAGATGTAGATATATTATATTAATTACTGCTAAATCGCTTCATTACCACATCACCATTACCATCACCAACTTCTTGTTTAAATCTTTCGTTAAATTTTTTTAATAAATTTATTTTTAACTTTATTATTTATTTTATCATTTTTTTTAAAAACTTTTTTGTATATATTTTTTTTTTATGTATTTATATATGAAATTAATTAAACAATAACCAATAAAAAAAATTTGAATATGCTGTTTTTTCTCTTCCTTTTAAAATTTAATAACTAACAGTTTCCGTAAAGCGATATCCATATGAAAGTTTAAAGGCATTTCACATCTTCTCAATCACTTATTAAGGCTTTTTAAAGCAATATCCAAAAAAATAATATCAGATTGAAGTGAAAACTGACACTATTTTTAAATATATATATATTTACATAGAGAGCTCCTAATAACATGTGATGACAATCATTAGAAAACTTTAAAAGTATGGTTTCCACTTTGCTTAAAGCACAAAGTTCTAATCTTAATATTATATATCAGATATCAATACTAAAATCCTCATATGTTTGTCAATAGACCATTGATCTGTGTGAAATGTCTTGGAACTATTATTATTATTTTATTTAAAAAAATCAATTAATTTTTATATAAAAGATTTCTTTACATTATATATTCAATACTGGTTTTTCTTATAACACGTTTTTCTATGGCAGCTGCAGTTGAAGTTGATGAAGACGAAGATGATAACGATGATTCTTTAACAACGGATGTAGTAGTGGGTGCCAAGTTATTTGTAGAAGATTCATTGTTTGTTTCTAAATTAAAAAATAATGTGGCAGTAGTAGTAGCAGTAGTAGCTCCATCTTCAGATATATCATCCAAAAGAATTATATTTTGTAATTGTGATACACCAGATTTTTCATTCATTAAATCAAATTCATTTTTGGTTATATCAAATTCTTTAAAATGTCCTGATAATTTATACCCCAATAGTGTATCAGGACCATTTGTATCTATAGACATTAAATCATTGCCGTCATCATTGTTGTTGTCAACACCATCGTTACCAACATCACCATTAACATCATTTAATGTAGTAGAACAATTTATTGTGGTATCCTGATTTATTATATCTTGACTCACTAGCGACGATTTCATGTTAAGCCATTTAATTATATCAAATTCTGATGGGTTATTTTTTTTCATTTCCTTTTCTCTTTTAGTTAATCTTTGCATTACCATCTAATTAATTATTATGTCAACAAAAAATAGAGAAATAATGAAAGAAATATTAAAAAAGGAAAAAAATTTCAATCATTTATTTAAGTTAGCTTTTTAAAGGTGATATATTATATATATATTTATTTATTTACCTTTTCTATTAATTTTTCAAGTTTCCGTCGCCATAAATTTAATTGATTTTCATCTTTAATCTTATTCTGTTGTAGTATTCCCAATGTTTCATTCAAACGTTTACTTATTAACATTTTAGCATGATATTTTGCAAATGACAATGATCTAAAATCTTGATCCACCGACCTATCAATCTAATAAATAAATAAATATGTATATATAAAATTTGCCTTTTTAAATAGTAATAATAATAATCCAAACACTAAAAATTTACCTGTACTACTGATTTCCTCAAAAAATTCATAAGAAACGATTCATACTGTGAGTCAACAAATACCTTTTGACCAATTCTATTCTCGCAATCCAATACTTGTCCATTATATACCTGCTTGGATTCACGAAGAATTGTCTATATTTCAAAATGAATAAATATAAAGAATTGTATAGGTAACTATGTTGTTTACAAATATTATTTATATATATATATATATATATATATATTATACATAGTCATAAGTATGTAAATATATATATATGTGCTTATTTGTATTTGTATAATATTTTTCAAAAATATAATGTTTCCATACCATCAATGCGCAACAAAGTTGTTGCATAACGCTTGGACAAGTATATAATTGTTTGTTCACACTAAATGTTACCCTGTTAACCTTGGGCAATTCCTTGCCTTTTCCTTTCCATATTTTACCATTTTTAGGTTTGGTACCTTGTGATGATGTATTAATAGTTTCAAAGTTACTAATGACAGTATTTTCAGTTGTTCTAAAAACATAAAACGTATTAGTCATTCCGTCTGATATTTGTCCTTTTGGACCTAGTGAGGGAAATCCTGTTGTGGATATTGAAATGATAATACCAGCAGCATTTGGATGCTTTATATATAATGTGTGTATATATTAGACGCATTAATTAAAAGAATAGAAACTATCTTTGAGATATGATAAAATAAAATTAAGACGTTACTGGTATTTGCATTGCTTGTTGTTTTGTAATATCAGTTTGAGTAATAACCGAATTTGAAATAGATGAGATGTTACTTTTATTTAAAATATAGGAAAAACCACACGCAATCATCAATAAGATTAAAAATAATGAAAATGATAATATTAATATTAATATCGATGGAATTTGGAAACATCATACCTTCGATACCAGCCTACTAATACCAGCCCCATAATCTTAAAAATTTTGATAGCTTCTTGATAAGCCAGATTAACCTCTTTTACCGTATCAGTCAATAAAGAAGGAATATACCTAAATAAATAAATAATCATTAATATAGATATAAATGTATGTATAAATGAAAATTATTTAATAATAAGGGAATAAAAAATTATTAACCTTTCCGAAGCTACAAATTGACTAACATGACATGTGATCATGTTATTGTCAAATTTGTCAATACTACATTTTCCTCCGAGATAACCAAGGACCTGATGTTTGGGATCAGAATAAGCACATTCCAAAAGAGCCGAAAATACTGACTCGTCAATGGATACGCGAAAATTTCTAAGAGTAAAAATGAAAGGTGGATAAATTTGATTTGATTTTGTTAATTATCCGAATCTTTTTTATCTTGCCAATTTCTTTTTGAACAAAAAAAATCTATGGCTACTATGTATATGTCAGTTTTGCTGACCACTCACAATGTAATTGGGAAGTGACTTGCTTACCCAGGACCCCGGTCAATCAGATTTGAGGTCATAGGAAAAGGTTGTAGAAATTTGTTTTTGAAATCAGTTTATAACTAAGGTGCCGAGTTTTTATGTTTGAAAGTAATGAAAATGTGTTGAACGATTAAATACTTGAATAATTTTTGATAAAGAAAGCCTTTTAACAACTTTATTGAATGACGATCTTTAACTAATTTACAAGATCGTTTGAAATCCAAAGAAGTTTATACAAAATAGCTAAAATAATGAAAATAATAAACTTGTTCGTTATAATTTTTTTTGCTTGTTATTTTTTAGGTATTACAAAGTGAATTATGCTTTTTTTCATGTCATACATACATGTATATATGTATTAGTATAGAACTTCACACAAATTAACATTTTAATGAATTCTCTTAATAAACATATTCTTCAAGAGTCAAAGAATGTAATATATATTTTTGTTATCAATCGGATAATAAGTGAATAGAATTAAGGTTTGGACGCGTAATATTATGAAAATTATTGTTGGTGTTTTTGTTATTTGTCACATCCAAAATTTGGTTAACTTTTTACTCCTCAGAATTTAATTTGATAAGGTTAAAAAAGATATCCCTTTTAGCCTTATCTCTTACTCCAAAAAGTTTCATTGTTTGCTTATAATATTGATAAGTATTAATATTAAGAATTACATGTCTACAAGCTTGTTCAGTAGGAAACCTCTTACAAAAAATAGACCAATTTTCTTGGTTACAATAAACTCTCATTTCACCAACTACATCTACATCAGGATTGTCAGTGTAATAAGATTCTTTTAAAACGTTAATTATTTATTGTCTAACTTCTTCATTATTCAACTGTTTAAATTGTAATGATGCTTTTAATTGTTCAATTTCTTGCTCTTTATCAGCTAATTGCCTTTTCAATGTTTCAATTTCGTTTAATAATTCTTTATTTGCTTGTTGTTGTTCGTTTATAATGTTTACCATGATTTTTGTTAATTATATCCTTCAATTTTTAATAAATACTTAATATCTTTCTTTTTATAAAATCATTTTTGGCATAATTCTTCTAAATCACCTTCAATATTAAGTATATAATTATTTTATTAGTTTATTTTTAAATTTCTATTTGTTGTCAGCATAATCAGTTTTGGACAAGTAATACCTTTAAACTCATCCCTTACAAATGGGCAAATATTGTTATAAAGGTATTCTTGCCTTTTATAATCCAAAGAAGGTGTGTTAACACTAAAATAGATAAAGCTTTAATTTCTTCAAAAATATCTGCTTTCCTAGTTTTCAATAAATCAAATTCAGCAAAGGTTCCATTGGCTGCCTCCTGAACTTTAACAACACCAAGATTAGATGCTTCAAAAAGAAAATGCTGATATTTCTGGATGCTTGATAGTTTCTTAAAATAAATATCCAATATAGATTTGATATTCAAATATTGAAAACCTTTTCCATCTTCATAACATTGTGCTTTATTTAATCTTGCTGGACTAGATCTTTTCACTACATCAACCACATGACCTACACAATCCACTCTTGTTTTCCTATAGAGTTTTTTATTAAACCAAAACTATCATCACATTTAAATTTGGTATGTCCTGGAACCATGAAATTCAGTTCAACACTTTCATAATAACCACAAATTTCTAGATACAAATAAATCAAATTATTGCATTATTTTTATTTTGTCCCCCAGCATTATCACAAGTAATCTTTAAATACTTTTCAATTTCTTAATTCCATCCAAAATCATATTAAGAGTGCCATTAGGACCTTTTCCTATGATTTCATCTCCATCAAGAACATAATTGATTTGTTCCCTTATTGCTTCATCTTGGATAACAATAAATGGACTTTACATTGACTAAGGTAATTAATTTTACTTACCTGTTGATCAGAATGTGGTACATGAATATTTTGGGCTCAATCATAACTGTAATGAACAGTAGCATCAATACTGCAATATGGTGTTTTACCCTTTGAATGGCGTTGACCAACTAGTTCCCTTTGTTCTTCAGCCAATTTAGTATTTTCATTATAATAATTTCTTTCTAATCTTGCATTGGGCAGATGTTCTTTAATTGCCAATCTGTGAATGAATCAGAGAGACCCTCAAATCTGTGTCTCCTACATAGAAAAGTCTTTATTCATCACACAAACTATGTTAATTTTTAGATAAAATTATTTTTTGGGATTAATTTTATTCATATAGTTGGCTCAGTCTAAAGACCTCCTAAATTTTGGGCAAATTTTAAAAGTATAGAAGTCACTTTCTGTCCTACTTTTTAAAAAAATAGCTCTATTAGTTGATAGAATATGTCTTTAGTTTTAATGTAATAGAGAGATTTACTCAAAAAAATTATTTGTTGTAGAATTCTATTCTTTTTTAAAACATGTACTTTACTATGCTCGCGAGGAATTTGTCCACTATGATCATGTCTAAATTTAGGAAAAATCATTACTAAATTTAGACTAGCTCTTAATAGGAGGTCTTTAGAGCGAGCCAACCATACATAAAAGTAATATCATCTTGTGGCACAAAAAAAATAATACAATTTTTTGTGTAAAGGTTGTCAATTGGTGACATTTTGCACCAAAATTTACTATTAAAAAATGCAGATCTTTCTCTGATTCTTTTGAGTAAATCTTTAGCCTTTCTTCTTGGCAAGCATTGTAATGTAAATAAACCATTTCGAAAATGTCACACAAGTCAGTTCTTGGACTCATAATTTGAATCTCTGATGTCATAATTTTCTGAAGGCATCACACTTCAAAGATTTCAATTTGCTATCTTCTCTAGACCAGCCAGAAAATACGGGTACGTATTACTTTTACTGACAACACGCGACGCGCCATTTTAGCATTTTATTAATGTTTTGATTATGTGGAGGTTAAATGTAACCCCTAGTTGTCGGTAAAAAATGAACTGTCGGCAAAATGAATGCCTCCCGAAAATAACTGTGCACAGATTTATGACCCATTGCAGCTGGTAAGAATGTAGCTGATTGAGTTATTCTATTGTTACTTCTCCCTGGGCTTGGCAAACCATGAACTTCAGCATAATTTTCCAGAAAATTCTTTATTATTTCTGCAACATTTTTGTCAATTACCATTTTAATTTTCCATTGAGGCATCCTTTTAATATTACCATGAACTCTTGTTAAAAGACCATGGTTTATCAGATGATTTATGATATTTTCAAAATAAGTTCTACCAAACCATAACATATTAAAATAAGTTTCTTGACAAAGGAGTGTATTGTGATCCCAGTTCTTTTATTAGATCTAGTTTTCTTTTTAAGGTGTCTATTAATACTTTTTAATCCACCATCTATTGCTTTAAGTTGAGTCATTAAAAGTGTGTCTTGTTCTGATTTGGTAAGAGATTGAAAGGATTCTCTTAATTCTGCAAATTGTTCTTTGGGAATTCTTAGATGTGTTAAAGATAAGAAATTATATATATAAATTCGTCAAAATCCAAGATACAAACCGATATAAACAATATTATATAATAAATTCACATTTTTGAATTTTGAAATCTTTGTGACTTCCTAATGAGTGTTATTAACTCAGAATCATGATTTTTGACATTGATGACTTGAATCCTCTTTTGAAGTCAACGAGACTTTGTTAGATGTTCCACTTGTTAGGAGCCATTTAACAAGTTTATTTATGTTTTAATCAGAAATTAAGCAAAATAGAATTTTTTTAATATTAAGTTTGAATAATAATGCAAAATAAGAGAAAACTCACGTAAGACTAGTTTCCAGGATAAATTTGAAGGAATTTCTTGGTTAATTATTTTACAAAAGATACAACTTTCCAAAGAATGCTCGTCAGGCATGATTACTGTTTCTTTAAAATTAATTGTCACATGACCCATGATAAAAATAGATCAATGAATGGCATCTCAGTAACATCAAAGACCTTTTATCATAATAATATGGATAGTAATGTATGGATAGGACATAGATGGCATGTATACATACATGTATAATTCTATCGTATAAATAATACGGGTTGATTTCTGTGAACCAAATATTTTCTATTTGTCTTTACTCTCGGATTATTTTTTTTATGATATATGCAATAGAATAAATATGTTTTATTTATTTTTTTTCTTTGAATTTTCTAATTTTTAAAATTATCTACTATTAGGAAATTATTGTTGTTATATGTTTTAAATTTTTTTTGCTTAGTGAAATTAGTTATGAAATCAATGAATATTATTCATTTTTTATTTATTCAATTATATTCGTTTTCTGCTTGTTTGTTTCTTCTTTCTTATCTTATTACACTCCACCACGCAAAGACAGTACAAGATGAAGAACTTCTCCTGGTTTAATATTTGCATCATCAACAGTTTTATCGTCATTTCTATTCATATTTCATATGTAAATATATAGTCACATGTATCTATTTGTTCGTTTGTTTATTGTAGACATGTATTAACGGATGTAATTACAATATTAGAAAACATACATACAATTGTTTACCACCATAAATAAGACGTTGTTGAGGAGGCGGAATACCTTCCTTTTCTTCTACGCGTTCTTTAATCCTTGCTATCTATTTAAATTATTTGTTAATTAAATTCATTAATTTTCATTAATTAAATTTATAAAAAAAATAATCAAAAAATTCATACTTTATCCTCTCTCTCAATATCTATTTCGATCTAAATATTTAAAGAATGTTTTCACGTTAGATGTGTGATTGTATATAAATAATATTTTTACAACGTAAAGCACTTGATAACAATCTACTTACTTCTTTGCCTGTGAGTGTCTACATAATAATAATTATATAGGATTAGTATGTTAAAGCAGTGACGCCAAATAATAATTATTTTCAAATTTATATTAGTAGTGTACCTTGACTTTTATAAGCATTTTGATAAATTATTTATTTGTAAAATAAAAATTCTTTACTACTACAATAATGGTGTTGTTACACGATTAAAAAAATAATAAATTCTGTTATTCAAATTAACTGTATATTTATTTATTTATTTAATTTTTTAATTTAGATTAGATTATTATTTTAATTATACAATTATTAAGGAAAAAAAAAATGCCAATTGAAGATCCAAGAGTTAGGCTAAGAAAAGCTGCATTTGAAGGAAATCTACATATTATCAAACGTTTAACAGCAAGAATAAGCATGCAAAATCCCGATTCTGAAAATGGATGGCATGTACAATTTGGTTTTAACTTAACAATTTGATTATCCCAATTATTTTATTAATCCTAATTTTGGAATAAATAAAACCAGGACTACAATAATGTATGCAGCTCGTTTTGGACATGAGCAAGTCGTTGAATTTCTTTTACAAAGAGGCCATGAAGATCCAGAAATTTCAAGAGTATATATCAATTCTAATAATTGCAATTGTATTCTGGTTGAAAAATTGATTATTATGTGCTTTTATTAATTATAACTCTGATTTTTGATTATAATTTAGGATTTTGAAAATAATACAGTTCTAATGATTGCTGCACAATATAATCACCTTGAAGTTAATAAGCCATATATTTTTCAAAAAACCTTATTATAAATATAAATATACTTACTAAATTTTTTATATTTACATTGTTAGATAATGAAATTATATGCAGCATTTTTTCCTAATAGTATTAATATGTGCAATAAACAAGGCCAAACAGCATTAATATTTGCATCTAAGCATGGACATCTTGAAATAATTAATGTGAATATTTTTATTAGTAGTAGTATTGCGGGAAAAAAATTTATATTGATGATTAAATATTTTTTTTATAGTTTTTATTAGAATATGGAGCTGACATAAATCAAACAGATTATGAAGGCAATACGGCTTTACACTAGTAAGTAATCGAACATGTTATTAGAAGAAAAATATTATTTAAAATCACTAATTTAAGTTTTTTAATCTAAAATTAAATATTAGTGCAGCAGCTTGGGATAAATCTTCGGTTAGTGTTATTTATATTTTTTTTTAAGATTGATAAAAATACATTAATATATTTATTCTAATCTACTAAATATCATTATAAAGGTTGTAACCATGTTGATTGAGCGTGAATGCCAATTTGCAGTAAAAAATATTGCAGGGTGGACTGCTTTAGATTATTCATATTCAATGAATTTAAAAGAACATTTACAAGGTATTGTATTTATACGATTGATTATAGGTGTTTATATATTTATATCTTTATCATTAATTGTTATTGTTAATAAAATTAGAATGTGCTCGTACGCATCACGAAAATAAAATTATAAGAAGACGTAACAATCTCAAAATAAATATTGAGAGTTCACCACTAATTGATTCAATGCCGTTTACTATACGGTCAGCAACTTTTCCACTTGTAAAATCAAATGATTTTCCAGATAATAATAATGGTAATAGCAACAACAGTAGCATTTCATCAAATTTATCATCAAATGATATAAATGCAATCAAAAGAAAAGAATCTTTACCTTGGTAACAAATATTTGTCACAATTTTTATTTTTATTTTATTTTTGGATTTTATTTTTTCTTAATTTAATCTTAGATTTTTTAGATTTTTAGATTTTATAGATTAATTAATATATTAATAATAATTTTTGCATAATAATAATAATAATAATAATAATAATAATAATAATATTTAATATTTGGAACTTAACGGTGTAACATATATGTGCCACTGAGTTTCATATTAGCCATCATATGCTTTTTACTCGTTAACAGCAAGGCATATCTTGAGTAGAATCATATTTAAAATGAAGTATTGTTGTTATTGTTGTTGTAGATAATTTTAATTTGTGCGGAATGGACATTGGACTACTGTTGTAGATATAAATAAAGATATCCCGTGTGTTCCTCGCTGTATTGGCATCTCTATTCCACAAGGTCAGATATACTTTTAAAGTATAGATGTGTTAGTTTTTCAAAGATGCCTTTTCATATTTCTTTGCACATCATTACACGCCTCAAGGAATATTTTGTTTACCATTAGAGTATATCAGTAAATTTTTAAATGATTTTGACAAGTTCATTAAATGAATCTAAAGCTCCGAACTAGCGAGCTCAAATTTGATTTATCCATTTTATTAAGTTGGCTCAAACTCGGCTTGAACTCAATCCAGCTCATTCAGAGCTCTAAGTCTAACAGAATGGCTACACACACGGAACTTTTCAATAGAAACGTGTGAAGCTCTGAAAATTATATTGAGAAAATTTTTTTCTTTTTGAAACTTTAAAGGAGAATATATCAAAACTTTACTATGCAAAATGGGCATGATTTCTAAGCTAAAAACGTTCTACCTAAAGAGTTACATATAAGGGTAGCATTGACTCAAATTTGGTTTTTTTTCAGTTTTACACGTTTCTATTGATATGAATGCTAATAAGGTATTAGTATATTGTGGATACGGGATCTATTATGTATGTACAGTTCATCCTCTATAACAGTCTTTTCTATATGTAACGGTTTAGTGCAAGGTGCAAGACCTAGTCCCACGACTTTTATTGGTCTTGTAGAGTCCAAAAACGAAATGTAACAAATCGTGGTTTTGAAATTAAGACCTTTCTCTATAAAGCTACGATTTCATTTTGTTGATACGTCATGTTACTGTTGTGCGTGAAAATGAAATTTATGTGAATTTGCAATTCACGTACGTGAAATTCAAATTAGCCAATCAGAATTTCGTATCCAAACACCCCACCCCAAAATTTTTTAATTAAATTAAATTTCAATTTGACATACAGTTGACTCTGGCTGGCCATACCAAACTCTGGATATAGCGAATCAAAATCGCCATGACCGAATTTTTATAATTAATAAATCTGTTTATAACGAATCCGAACTCTCCTTTTTTGAAGTTTCTTATTTAATTTGCTCTTCCTATAACATGAACACATGTAATATCATGTGTAACATAATGCATTTACATATTATTAATTAGTATTATTATTATTATTATTATTATGTCATGGCTTTTTGTAAAAAAAAGAATTTTATTATAAATACCCTCAAATTTCCAGATGATTTGGTAGCAATACATAAATTATATTTCATGATTCTTTATACTTTTACTTTTATTTGTTTCTTTTATTTCCATTCATTACTTCTTCTGGATAGATTGGTAAGATTTTTATTTATATTTTATTTATATTTGAGAATGTTTTATAATTTCATATTATAAAAATAACCTCTTATAAGCTTTTCTGATCAATAAATATTATTAAATTATCAGTCAAATGATATGTCACAGGAAGTGTAATTACATATATAAAATAGAAAATCCGACTCGTGTAACAAATCAGCCTTTTAAAATATCTCATTATTTTTATAAAAAATACAAACATCATTATTAATCAAAAATAAAACTATGGAATTATAGCTTTCTAATGAGCCCTCTCCAATATTGATAGAGGCTCTCTATGTTAAGCTATGTTTATTCAAAAACAGCATTACTTTTTATTTCAAAGCTAAGATTTT